TTATTGTTGTTGAACCCAAAATGATAATAATTAATATACTATTTGGTTTAATATATTTTATAATATATATTAAATAAATATTATTTTTAAATTTAAATTTAAAAAAATTAATTATAAATTTTATTAAATAAATTAATAACCATGATTGTGTTGACGAATGTATCGTGGTGAATGATATATTAATAATTTTTCTTTCAAAAACAGCGTTCAACCCGTCAGATTCAATTATAAGCAAAATTGAGAGCCCAAAAAGAAAACTGCATGGGGATTGGTGAGAGAAAGAAACCTAGGACCAATCCACCTAGAAATGGCGAAACCCGGCTCCAACCTGCCACTTCTAATATAAGCAAAATTTTAAAATCATATTGGGAAACCTTCTTTTAAAATAATATTTTTCTAAATGTTTTATCCACTAATCCAATTTCCTCAACAGCTTTCCTTTTTGGTGAATGAATTCCGTCGGCAACTTTACCATAATGAAAAATTGCTCAGCAGATGCACACAAATCACTATCTGGACTTATTTCCATTTAAGTATTTCTTCATTTAGATTTTAGTTGAATTAATTTTTAATTTAGGTGTTTAAAATTAATTATCTAATTTTTGTTTTACAATTATTATTAAATGAATTTATTCATATTTTATTCTTTTTAAAGAAAATAATTTTAACATATTTTATAATGACACTTATTTAACTAGTGGTTAATTGGGAATAAATATAAAATTTTATTATTTGGTTATTACATCCTTATTTTCTGATGGAGAAAAAAAAAATAAACTAATTAAAGTTGAATGAGTATTTTATTCTAATTTTTAGGTAAATCTATTGTTAAAAGAGAAGATCATTAATATAACAATCATACGTTGTATAATACATTAATTATAGATTGATACATCCTTAAAAGTGATATATCTTTTGATATATTAGTAGAAGTTAAGTACTTGGTATTTAGAAAGTTTGGATTCTATTATTGACCTAAGTTAAAAATTTTAAATTAACGTATATTAGCTTAATCAAAAAACATGCAGTAACATTCATAATTACATATCAATTCTCGCAGTTATAAATAAATTGAAAAAAAGTTGTAACCTTATTAATACCTACACAAAAGTTTTATGAGTTCTTACTTTTGCAATATGGAATGTGATATGCTGCAAAATTAAAACTATTAAATTTGACAAGCCCACCCCATATGATTGAAGGTATATAGTTTTGGTTGCATCAAACTTTTTTAAAGTTTTATAGACTAATTATACCACTTATTATATATACATATCTTATCTATTAATGTCTTCCATCATTTGTTTTATTATATATTAGGGATTAATTACTTGATACTATAAAAATTTAAATCAAAATTTTTAATTTAATAATTATTGATTTAACTAAACTTTTGTTAGTTAAGAGTGCCTAAATTATTTTTCCTTTTTTTTAAAAAAAAAACGAATAAGAGAAAATTTTCTGCTCAAAATTTTACTTCAAAACAAGGACGAAGAATTTTCTTCTAAAGCTTATGGTTTTAGCTAATCTATTCAAGGCAAGCGGTCGCCTTCCTCCCATTGGCCCATGGTGCACATCATTGTACAAAGTTGTTGTGATGTAATGTAATACTATTTTTTTATTACTTTCCCTTTTTTTTTTATGGGTGTTTACTGTTGATTTTTCTCTTTTGCACCTTTTTCTTTTCTCAATATTACCAAAACAAGGTGAGAAAATGTTCTCCACGAGAGAGGTGAAATATTCACACTTTCAGTTTCAGCAGTGAAAATATTATTAGGGTGTATTATATTTGACTTTTAGTCCTTGCTCTCTCATTTTTTTTAAAAAAATATATAGTAATTGTAATAGGTAATTGTTTTGTTATAAAAAAAAAAAGAAAAAAGGAAAAAAACAGCAACAGCAAGAAGGTGAAAAAATGGGTTAAAATGCATTGAACGGGGTTTGGAGCATTTTTGTCTCTTTGTGTGGAAAGACGGGGATATAAAGAAAATGAGGGGTTTTGTGGTTTGAGTGTGGAGAGAGTGCTCTATCAAAAATCGATAGATCGTGTGCGTTGCTACTCATCCTTCCAAGGTTTCTCAACATTTCCCGTCTTTGATTTCCCCCTTTGTTCCCAAGAATTTTCTAGGGTTGTCTCTAGGGTTGTTGCTGTTTTGTATACTAGAAAATTTTGGCTAGCCATTGATTTTCTTTTTGTTTTTCCTCCTTCCTATGCACCTGGAAAGATGAAACTTTGCAATGGGATTATGGGCTGCTATAATTGATGTCTTCAAAATTTGTTTTCTTGTACAAAGGCTGAAACTTGTTTTCTTCCCTAGAAATTTTAGGCTATTTCCTTTCTGGGTTTTCCTTCTTTTTCTGAGCTTTTAAAACATTCCTCTGGGTTGCCATTATTAATCTCTTCAAAATTTGTAATTTTTCTTTACAAAAGTTTAAGCACGCTGCGTAGCTACTCAGTATATATTTGCGGATTTAGCCCAATTTTGGTCCGTATTTGTCATTTTTTCTAAAAAACGAGAAAAATGATTCTTGTGTAAGGTTACTGATTGACGTGACTTTGATGATGAAGTAGAAGATGGTGAGAGGGAAAATTGTGATGAAAAGGATTGAGAATGCAGCAAACAGACTAGTGACCTTCACCAAGCGTCGAAATGGGCTGCTTAAGAAGGCTTTTGAGCTATCCGTTCTCTGTGATGTCGATGTTGCAGCTATAATCTTCTCACAAAAAGGAAAACTTTATGAGTTCTCAAGCTCCGAGTACGTTCTCTTCAATTATACTAAACAAAATTCTTCAGTTGGTTATTTCTTTTTACTCTACATGTTGATCATTTAACAGATTTTGCAAGTTTGTTTTTTGTTCCTCTTCCATAATTCCTCATTATGTGGATCTGTACTTCCTTAGTACTATTAGGAAATCTTGCTGTTTGCGTTGATTTTTTCTTCCTATTAGTCTTTGAGTTCATTTCTTCTGATGAATTATCAAGAATGACTCTGATGATATGCTTTGCTGCGGGAACATATCCAGTTAGGTGCATTTTGCCTTTCTCAAACATGTCTATTAGGGTTAGCAAATGCTTTGCTGCTAGGAACTACAAACCGTAATTCTAGTGTTTAGCCTGCTACAATTTCAATCTATATATTAATTATTAGATATTAAATCTCACATTAGTTTTGTCATTTTCCTTTTATATATATAGTGTATGATTTCACATGTGCTTTAGAAATTGTGTTAAACCCCCCAATCCTCACCATAAAAGTTTGAGACTCCATAAAATAGTTATGAAATCATTAATTTCTTGCAGTATATATATCCTATAGAAGTGAGTAAATGAAACTCGTTGGTGCTTGGCTAATTAAAATAAATGGTGCCTATGTGTGTGAGAAGGAATCTGTGAATGTATGCTTTTTATAAGCCATAGAAATTTACCTTATTTTCTTAGCAGCATGCCCTTAGACTTATTAGATATTCATTTTTTATGGTTAATTTGTCATTGCTAGGCGTTTGCTTTTCAAGTGTTGGGTAAACATTTATGTTTTTCTCTTCCCACAACTCTTACACAAAAGCCATTCATCTTTACATTATAAATGATTGAGATTTATTTACTTTTTATCGTATTTTTTAAATATAATTTTTTTTAATCTAAAAAGTTTTTATAAATCTTAAACATTCATAATGGAGAGATGAATGGTAAGATTTTGTTTAACTAATGTGTGCAAGAGTTATGTAAAAGTGGATCATAACTCTATTTTTTTAATCTTTATTTGGTGTTTAATTCATATAAGTGATCAAATTATGTGTTCAAACCAGTAGTGAGAGGCATAGGAATAATATAATCACTAAATATTGCTGTAATTATGAAAGAGAAAATTTTACTTAGAAAAAGCAAAAATCTAATGTATTAGACATTTTGACTCTCTCTAAAGCACATGTCATTACTTGAGATGCGTGCATTTGTTAATTGGGTGGTAGATAAAAGAACAATTAATATTACTTGTGTGTGTTTAGAATTAGTTAAACTCTAATAATGGATACATTTGTAGGAAAAAAGAAATTAATCATCTTCCAATGCGCTCCAAATTTATAAACTCTTGAGTATGTTTGGCCTATACTAAATTTTATAAAGTAAAATTACACCATCCACCCTACATTGATTATTCACCAAACCCTTTCTCACTCTTCATAACCAATGATTTATTATTAGTAGTGACAAGACTAACATTTTTTAAAAGACAATCCTAGGTTTTTATTATCTTTAATTTCCTTGTATTTGGAAATATCATGTTGATTTTCATATTTTTGATAAATCTTTTCCTTGTACTATTTACATAATACTCTATTTTGACTTATCTTCTTTTGAATGGACTACATTTTATTTCTTATGCCAATTAATTACCTTTGAAAGTTAGAAATCTAATAAGGTTATATATATGTTTTGTAGTTTGTTTAATTAGCAATGAAAAACAACTATTAAAAGAGAGATTTGAATTCAAATATATGTCTTCTTTTTTTATTTGGTAATGTAAATTTGATTTTCATGTCTTAAAATACAAGCAATTAGCAATACAATGTTTGGCTGTAATGTAACTGTCTCATTTTGAAATCCATGTATTTATTTCATATAGGTTGTGTATTATTAAGTATTCAAGTTTTACAAGGATCTAAGATTTATGAGATCAACAATGTATTTTTTGTCACTAATCTAATCTTTTTTTTTACAAGGTTGAAATTAAGCTTTAGCCCTCAAACTTTAGAGGTTGTTAATTTTAAGCCCTCAAAGTGGAAAAACATCATTTAAGCCCTTAAACTACCTGAATGCATCAAATTGGCCCATCATTAGGACTTCATAATGTGCCATTACCGAACAGTGTTCATTGATGCTAATTGGACCATATGTAGCATTCATGGTGGGCCCTTGGACACATGGGGTTGACTTGGCATTGATGGCATGTATGATAGTAAAAGAGCAGAATGAGCGATGGGCAATTCAAAAGCAGTTTGGAAAATTCCCAAATTGTAGAACTAGGGTTTTACTTATAGGCCTCCAACATGTAGCTTTGTTGTCATGTGATTTCAAAATTATTCAGATTATCTCTGAATTATTCATCACTCATTTGCCTTTTCTACCATTAGGCAAGCCATCAATGCAAACTTAGCCTTTATATGTGTCTAGAGGCCCAGCATTATTTCCATGTATTTAAAACACGATCCAGTTAACGAGGGCCTAATTTGATGCGTTCATATAGTTTGAGGACTTAAATGTTGTTTTTTTATTTTTTTTGAACAACGAGAAAGAATTTTTTTATTTTAAGTACAAAAAGTACTTCATCCCTTACATGTTCGTCCAAATGTACTAACTGCTCTTTGATACAGCAACTGCCGTCCAGATTACCCCCAGCATTTTTTTTTTTTTTTGAAAATTAAAGATATTTTATTTATTTTTAGAGTACCAGGGGTACTCATAACCCATTACAAGATGTCATCATACTTCCACAATGTTGTTTTTTTAGTTGAAGGGTTTAAAACCAACAACCTCTTAACTTCAGGGGCTTACACTCAATTTTAACCTTTTACAAAGCCAAAGAAATGTAATCAAAATTGAAGATTTAAATTCAAATTCACACTAAATTTTGTAATTTACAAACCAATTATCATTTAAATTATAGATTTAATAGGATGCTAGTAGATGTTGAAGCTGCATGTCAAATTTTTCAATGGCAGTGCAATGCCCTATAAATATATCAAAAGTCTCCTTTGTAAAACAACTTAAAAGAACCAAATTAAAAAAAAAAAAAAATTTAAAAACTTAATTTTCCTTTATTACATTCAAATTAAATGCCTGTAATCCTTTATTCTTGTGTTTTAAGTATGTAGTCTAAGTTATAACTTGTTTGAAGTGAGCATTCTGTGAACTTGGATGCATCTTCATTCTTGGCATTCATCTTTTAGGCTTAGATGGTGTGTTGAGGCAAGTATGTAATGTTGTGTGTTCTCCTAACATCACTGGTGTTCTTTTCCATAACTTTTTGCTAAGGAAATTTGAAGGAAACGCTGGAATCCTTTCTGAATTAGCTAAGTTCTTTGTCTTAAATGTTAGTAAAGCTGAACTTTGAATGTATGTGAATCAATATATAGACGGCTTGTGGTTGTAAGTTTAAAGGTGGAGTACCCATTGTACGCTTAGTAAGGATATTTTCAATTCATCTAATAAAAGTATGTAATGTTGTGATTCTGCTCCTCAATAACTAGGGATGGGCTGGAACTTCTGTAGTTTTGAGTGTTACACACTTGTTAATTAATGAAATTGCTTGCCATCCGCTGATGGGATATATCCGCTAACATGGATTGATCACCTTTTTCGTTTTTTCTCGGTGAAACGCTTCAGCATGCAGAAGACCATTGAACGATATTATATGTGTTCAAGAGAAATTCCAACTCTCAAGGCTGAAATGGAGCAACACATGCAGGTTAGACCTCCATCTTTTTTATTTCTCAGAAAAGGGCCAGTTCAAAATTTATCTGTCTTTCATAGTGAACAGAAACAATTATAGTTAAGAAAACAAATTGTAAGGTTTGATGTTTGAGTGGGGATTCTTACACAATCCAAGTTATATGAAGGAGCAGCGTGAACATTAAGATGTAAGTATAGATGCTTTTTATTTATTTATTTATTTTTTTTATACATTTGATTATGGATTATACAGGGGATAGCCTTTTCTTTTTTTCCAAATGCCTTCCCATTCAACTCAAAATTCAAACTTGAGATCTCTAATTTGAAATCTCATGTTCTTAACCAGTTAAGCCATCCTTTTAGGAGCATAAGCATAGATGTTATTATGTATAATATAACTCTATTTGGAAGGAAAGATACGTACTTAATTTGCAGTTGATTAGAATAAACCTTATCTTGGTTGCCAATCTGCTCCTATCACTATATCCATGATTTAGGGAGGAAAGAGTTTAAAGCTCGGACAATGCTTATTCTAGTCTCCTATAAGCAAGTTACCATGGGGGCAGTCCAGAACATGGTTATAACACTTCATCAATTTCTGTAAATCATTCCAAGTGTGAATCAAATCCATGCAATCTTTTGTTTTAACTAGGTTTTGTGGTTTGATTCGTTGATACTTATGATTGGATTTCTCTATATATAATCTACATTACATCTTCATTGCTCTCATCAAACAACTGGCTTCATGAGTTATAATAAATTACTCTGCTGCTAATAATACTCATGGTTTCCTAAAAAAATTTCGAAGTGCAGCACTTGAGGATTGAAACAGCAAACATGTTTAAGAAGATCGAGTGCCTGGAAGTTTTTAAAAGGTCCAATATTGATTTAATGCTTCTGTCGTGTTACCTCACCTCATCCTGGTGAAAGGATATTTAAAGTTCGAAATTTTGATGCTATACAGGAAGCTTTTGGGTCAAGGATTGGGCTCTTGTTCTGTTGAAGAACTCGAAGAGATTGGTAGCCTGATAGAACAAAGCTTGAAAAACATCAGGGCAAGAAAGGTTTGCAACCTTTCTTTCTGCATTTAGGCTAAAAGTAGTTACGTTAATGAATCAATATATGATTACAAGTCTTCTGCTTTTGAAGGAAAATTAGCATTTGAGTTACCATCAAATGAGCTTTTTAGCATGTTTATAGAGTATTTGCATCGTCAATGGACCCTTTATAGACTTACAACAGCCAAATTTCCTCAGACTCGATCGCCTCCCCCTTAGGTTACTATATACTCATAAATAGAGCTGCAACCCACATTCCTTTAACCATTTAAGTGGTTCAAGATGTCCTCCATCATGTGGGATTGGAGTTTCTAATATTCCTTGTAATAGATTCTTCATTGTGCCATCCATCTACTAATATGCAAGGAACTTTGGCTTGACATTCCTTGTATAATTGATCCAAATTTCTCTAGTGTACTAGATTCTTCATTGTGTCATGCATCTACCTACATACAATTTCTAGACAATTCTTCAAAATTGTGTTTGCTTGCATAAAGGTATGTAGGCTAAACATGTTATGCCCTATATGCTAGGCCGAGTTATATAAGGAGCAGATACATCGACTAAAAGCGAAGGTGAGAATAGCCCCCTTTATTGAATTAAACATATATTACTTCCTCAATTTTCTAGCTCTTAGCTTCTAAAAAATGCCACCTGATTCTATCCCAATAATACAATTTTAGTCTTAATTCAGGAGAGAATGTTGTTAGAAGAAAATGTGAAATTATATGGAAAGGTGAGCTTTTCATTTTTGTATCTTGAAGTTTATTTATTTATTTTTTTACTTACAAAATTGCCTATAATTTTGTAGTCCGAATTGACACTAGAATGCAAAAATTGGGTGTTGGATGATGGGTGCCACTTTACGGTCAATACCCCTTATCCAATCACTCATATATTGTAATCAAAATTATTTCAGACTACAAAACACTATTTTAAATGAAATAAATTAAGTAACCCTCTTTTGACTTGGATTAGTGTGGTGGTGGGAAATCAGCGCAACAACCATAAACCCAACAAAGGAAAGTGGGAAACAACTGCACCCAAAATGGCCAATGCTTGAAGGTTGTGACGGAATTGTTTATCGGATTGCCACAAAACCATTAATGTCAATAGTTTGAATTACTTTACTGCTAAAATAATTGTGTGACGTCAAATAATGCTATATAATTGGTGTATTTGGTTGGTTAGTCCACTAGTTTTCTCTTCAATATTTTCTTGTTAAATTGTATATGATCTAAATGTAATTATAGTGTAAAATATCATAAAAAATATTGTGAAGATGCTGCGTATCATGATATTATCTATTATGGGAAAAAATTCAAATAATTTTGATTATATTTTAAAAATAAGTTATTTTAATATTTTTATTTTAAATTTTTTGAATTGATTTAATTTTATAATATATATTTTTAAATTTTTTAGAAATTCTATTAATAAACCATCTTTCTTTAATGTTTTAAATTTTACTTTTACAGTTTATTGTCTTAAATAAAAACATCAATTTTTATTTTCTTACTCTCATCAATTCGTGATAAAAATTTAAAAAATTTTTAGGTCTAATAAAACGAATATTTGTGAGGATTCCTAGATCAAGACTTTACCAACAGAAGAAAAGAAGCTAGAGGCTGTTCCCAGCGGCCTGCAAATTTGGAGCCCAACTGTATGATGAGAGATGGACACCTAAGACCAATCCACCTATTCCTATAAATAGCAAAGCCCAGCCCCAAGTTACCACTTCCGAAAAACGAAAAATTTTAAAATAGCCAAATCCCTTATTTGCCCTTTAAATTTTTTTTCTTTCTATAGTCAACATCTTAAACTAATTTTCGTTCCGATCAATACATTCTATAATTTATAACTTGTAAATAATCGAAAAATGTAACAGCATATCACATGTTGGTCACATGGGCATTAAAATCTATTAGCTAATGCAATACATGGCACTTAGGCATCATTGTGGACGTAACGTGGCTCCATTAATCTGATTTGGATTTTGTAATATTAGTTGTTGTAATAGGAAATGGGATCCAATTTTCATTCAAAGTAAGCTACTCTTGATTTAGGATTCTATCAATTCCAAAAGATTTCTACTTCAACCAATAAGGGATCTAGCTGGTGGAAAGACATTTGCAAAATCAATGAGTTGATTGAGGGGAAATGGGATTGGGTTAAGTTTGGTTTCAAGATAGTAATAGGTGAGGGTGCAAAGGTCTCATTATGGAGGGATGTGTGGACAGGGTCTTGTAGCTTAAATGGACTGTTTTTTAGGTTATTTTCTCTTTCCATAGATACTCAAGGTACCATGCAACAAATGGGAGAATGGATTGATGAAACATGGAGATGGAGGCTAAGATGGAGGACAAGGCTATTAGCATGGGAGTAGGAACAAGAAACACAACTTCGTGATATAATACATAAGGTGCAACTTCGACGAGATGTTGAAGATAGATGGTGGTGGAGATTTGAGAAAGATGCCAACTACACAGTAAAATCAACATACAAAATACTAATAGTAACAGAAGGTGGAGATGAAGGCAGAGATCTTAAGAGATGCTAGAACTTGATAATCTTGATGAAAACCTGTGCTTTTAATTGGTTATCAGTGCTTAGACATACACTTTGCAAGGAAAACTTACTAAAAAGGGCTATCATTAAGGAAAAGTCAGATGCAATGTGCACCTTTTGTGAAGCAACAACAAAAAATGAGAACCACTTGCTATTATGGTGTGACTTCTCAGCAAAAATATGGAACAAAAATTTTGCATGGTGGGAAATCACGCATGTCATGCTAAAAACTTGCAAGCAGGCTCTCTTCCAACATGGCTGGGTGGGTAGAAATCAAAAGTAGTGGCAGGTGGTGTGGTACACTCCAATATGGTCTCTATGGTTAGCTTGAAACTGAAAGATTTTTTTAGGCAAAGCAGGTGCCCACTAATGAGGTGTTCCAGATGGTGCAGTGCAGTTCATATTGCTGGATCAAGAGTAAAATTGAAGGCCGGTCATATTCTGACTTGGATTGATGCAATAATCCTAGCAAGTGTCGAATTGTAAAGTTTCAAAATTAATGACCATGGAAGGGTAGAATATGAGTAGGAAACAATAGTGATAGTTACAATATTTATGGGTTAAAGTACTCCTGGTACTCTTTAATAAAAGATCTTTCTTGGCTTTTCAAAAGAAAAAAAAGCCAATCAAATTCCAATAAATTTGAACCAAGTCCTTTCACCAACAACTAATGTCCCAACTTCCTCACTATCTGAAAGACTAGAACATTCGCTAGCCACCACTTTCCCTCCAAGCCAACCAAAATTTGTTGCAATAATCCTTAATGTCGCCACTATAAACCACTGGGCCATTTACCTCTAGCTTCCATGCCTAGCACCGCCAGATTTGCCCATGTTCATTGCCCTTCCACCTCAATCAGTCTAGTACTCACCTCTCTCCCTTACTACTAATCCTATCTAGTCCACATTGCCCTTACCACCCCTCTATCCCACACAAGCCAACTTCAAACCCTTGTCTCATCTTTTTACACACTCCAACTGAGCACTCTACCCCATTCAACCACCATCGCTCGCCAACCAATGTTGCCTGGGTCTCCTTTGCCGCTTCCTTCATTTTCTCAACCTATCAAGGATCAAAACTCACAGTTTCCTCAACCTCTCTTTCAACCACGATAGTTATTTCCAATGAAAAGAGAGAAAACAATGCAAAAAAGAAATGGCCACAAAAACACAAACAATCCTCTAAGAAAAACCCCTTATAGCCACCCTAACACCCTAATAGAGAGAAAAAGTATGAGTGGTGATTTAGCCAAACTCATATTGATGAAAAATTCTTGCATCATTTTTCTTCTCTTTTTTCTCTTGAAACGAAGAAGAAAACTTTTTTACTTAAAAACAAAAACAAGAGCGAACAATTTTCTTCACAAGCTAATTCTTTTAGCCAATCCATTCAACGCGGGCAGCGCCACCTCCTTGGTATCTAACGTGATGCGTTGCCAAGACTCAAGACATCATTGGCCCGTTGAGCACACGAAGATGTTGACATGTGCTAATACTACTATTTTTTTATTGCTTCCCCTTTTTTTTTTTGTGTTTACTATTTATTTTTTTTTATGAATAATAATTAGTACACATTTAGATTCAATATAATATACAATATATTTATTAAAAAATTATTATTTTTAATTTAAATTTAAAATTAAATAAATTTAAAAATATAATTATACACATAAAATATAAAAATTAATTAAATTAATTATATTTATATTATATTTTTAATAATTAAACTAAAAATATGTCAAAAAAAAAAATGTTGAACCGATATACAGATCATTTTCTTTTATTTATTCGTTGGTATTTTTCTGCTCTGCTTTTCATTTTTCTTTTCTCAGTATTACCAAAACAAGGTGCGAAGATGAGTTAAAAAGCAATTTAATTAGCTATGGATTTTTTTGTCATTTTCAGGGGAAGGACAAAAGTGGATAGAAAGAAAATGTGGGCTTTTGTGTCTGAATATGAGGAAAGTGCTGTATCAAAAACCAATAGATCCTCTGCGTTTCTGCTCATCTTTGTAGCGTTTCTGAACTTCTCCCTTCTTTGATTCCTTCCTTCGCTCCCAAGGAGTTTTCAGGGTTGTTGTTGTTTGGTTTCCTAGAAAATTTTGGCTTTTCCCAGTGATTTTCTTTTTGTTTTTCCTCCTTCCTTTGCACCTCGAAAGATGAAACCTTTCTATGGGAACAAGGGCTGCTATTATTGATCTCTTTAAATTTTGTTTTGTTTGCACGAAGGCTGATACTTGTTTGCTTTCCTACAAAATTTAGGCTATTTTCTTTCTGGGTTTTACTTCTTTTTCCCTTTCCTTTGACCTTTAAAACCCTTCCTCAGGGTTGCCACTATTGATCTCTTCAAAATTTGTAATTTTTCTTTGCGAAGGTTGAAACTTTAGTAATAACTACACACTACGTAGCTACTAAATATATATCTGGGGACTTTGTCCAATTTTGGTAAGTATTTGTGTCATTTTTTCCAAAAAGAAAAAAGGATCTCCCGTTAGAATACTAATTGACGTGGCTCTGATGATGAAGTAGAAAATGGTGAGAGGAAAATTTGTGAGGAAAAGGATCAAGAATGCAGCAAACAGACAAGTGACCTTCTCCAAGCGTCCAAAACGGGCTGCTTAAGAAGGCTTCTGAGCTATCTGTTCTCTGTGATGTAGATGTTCCACTTATCATTTTCTCTCAAAAAGGAAGAATTTATGAGTTCTCAAGCTCCGAGTATGTTCTTTTTAATTATTCTAACAGAGTTCTTAAACTGATTATTTCTTTTTACTATACATGTTGATTTTGCGAGTTTGGTTTTTGTTCCTCTTTTCTATTTTGAGACAATCTTATTTAACCCCTTGTGTTTTCAAAATCCTTTTTGTACTACAAGGCTTCTTCCATAAATTTACAAATATGCTTATTATGTGGATCTGTACTTCCTCAATTCCATTAGGAAATCTTACTATTTGCATTGATTTTTTCTTCCTATTTGTCTCTGAGTTCATTTCTTTTGATGAAATATCCAGAATGACTCTCATGATATGCTTTGCTGCTGGAACAAATCCATTTGGGTGCATTTTGCCTTTCTCAAACGTGTCTGTTAGGGTTTGCAAAAGCTTTGCTGCTAGGAACTAGAAACTGTAATTCTAGTTTTTAACCTACCACCATTTCAATTTACATATTAATTATTAGATATTGAATCTCACACTAGTATATATAGATGACGTTTGATTATCACATGTGCTTTAGGAATTGTGTTAAAACCTTCAATCTTCACCATAAAAGTTTGAGACTACCTAAAGTAGTTATGAAATCATTAATATCTTGTAGCATATGCTATAGAAGTGAGTATATGAAATTCATTGGAGCATGGCTAATTAAAACAGATGTTGCCTGTGTTACAAGGAATTTGTGAATCTATGCTTTAGTGAGGCATAGAAATCTACCTTATTTTATTAGATGTATGCTCTTAGGCTTATTATATTATCATTCTTTATGGTCAATTAGTCATCCCTAAGCGTTTGCTTTTCAAGTGTTGAGTAAATATTTATATTTTTCTCTTTTTCATTATATATTTAGGTATGATCCACTTAAATACAACTCTTTATATACAAACCATTCATCCTTCTATTATAAATGGTTGAAATTTATCTGCTTTTTATCACTTATTTTTCTAAATATAATTGTCATTTTTGTTTAAAAAGTTGTGATAAATTTTAATTATTCATAGTGGAGGGTTGAATGATCAAAATTTTGTGTAATTAATGTGTTTAAGAGTTATACGTAAATGGATCATAACTCTATTTATTTGATCTTTATTTTGGGTGTTTAATTCATATATGTTATCAAATTATGCATTTAGGCCAACGGTGAGAAGCACAGGAATGATATAATCACTTAATAAACTATACATAGGAACGAGAAAATTTTACTTAGAGAAAGTAGAAATCTAAGGTATTAGACATTTTGACTCTCTTTAGAACACATATCATTATTTGAGGTGCATCTATTAATTGGGTGGTAAATTGAAGAATGATATTACCCACATGCGTTTAGAATTAGTTAAAAGGAATCATTGGATATATTTGTAGGTTAAAACAAATTAATCATCTTCCTATGCACTCTAAATCTATGAACTATTTGGTATGATTGGAGACTAAATTAGAAGCCCCTTACAAAAATTTTGTCTCTCATAATTACGTGTTTAACATCCAAGTTGCAAGCATTTTATGTAGAAAAAAATGGCCTTAAAAGGCAGCTGGAATGTATGTAGAAGAAAATTTATGAAATTTTTATACTTGTTCAAAAATAAAGGTAAGGGACGCACTTCTACTTTTCATGTTTGGTGCCATAATCCCTGGGATTGTACTAGAGCGGTGAATGGATGCAACTATGCAAGGAAGGTGTGAAAGAAGCAAGACAAGTACAGGATCAAGTAACATGATTTAGCTTGGATTTATTTGTTTTGCATGTTGGGAAAACTCTAAGGCATGTTCATGATGGATGGAAGGTGGAATACCCCTCGCACACTCCTATTTAATATAACTTTAATTTTGTTGGCTAATCAATAAAAAATAAATGCTCGTGTCAAGTCCTGGATGAGTTTACTTGTCCTAAAAAACTATTGAATCTAAACATCATCTCTGTTCTTTTTATATGTGTCTTCGATAATTAACTTTCTGATGCAGCCTCTTTCTCCATGTTTTCAAGAGCCCTATTGTTTATGTTTTTTTTTTTTTTGAAATGCAAAGCATTGTTTATTTATACATATATATATATATATATTTATTTTTATATTTTTAATTTTAGATAGTGGGGTATATATACAATATGATATATAGTCTTTCCCCTTTACCTGAAAATTTAAATTTTAGACTTGCAACCTAAAATCTCAAGCTCTTGATTAACTATTGGGATATCTTTTAGGGATACATTTAGGGTTCTCAAATGCTATAAAGTATAGAATATTCATGCTAAATTTTGACAACCAACTTCTAGTTGCAACATGTGCAGTTGCTTCTTTCTATGTAGACCCATAATTTAAATTTAGAAATAATAATTTTTTATTAAGTGTGTTGGTAGATCTATTAACTTAGATGGTATTCTAATTATTTTCGTTTCAGTTTTATTTATTTATTCCTAAGAAAGTGGTAACATGGATTAATGACCTTTCATTTTCTTTTTCCTTTTTTTTTCGCTCTTTTTTTTTTTTTTTTGGTGAAATGCTTCAGCATGCAGAAGACCATTGAATGGTACTAAATGTATACAACAGAAATTCCGACTCACAAGTCTGAAATGGAACAACACAAGCAGGTTAGACATCCATTTTTCATTGTACAGATTAATTTTCTGGAATTTTTTTCCGAGAAAAGGGCAATTCAAAATTTATTTATTTGGCCGTAGATGTAAGCATAGATGATATTATATATAATATAATTCTATTGGATTGATACACACTACACAATATACTCATTAAAAAATCATTGTTTTTTGGTATGAAACTAAAGGCAAATAAACTTAAAAATATATCTATGCATATATGATGCAAGAATTAGCTAAATTGTCCTGAAATGTGCTATATTTTAATAACTGAACTGAATAAGTATTAGAAATTGTATTAAACCGAGTGTGTATCAATAATTTTCCAATTTTATTTAGAAAAAAAAAAAAGATAGTACTTTATTCACAGTTGCCTAAAATGAAATTAATTTGGTTGCCAATCTGCTCCTTCTGTTGTTTATATCATGGTTTTGGACTCTAAATCCATGATTTAGGAAATGAAGAGTTACAAAGTTCAGACGAGTGCTTGTTCTACTCTCCTATAAATATGTTGCCAAGGGGGCAGTCGAAAACGAAGTTATAATACTCTATCAATTTCAGCAAATCATTCCAAGTATTAATCAAATCCATGCAATTTTTTGTTTAAACTAGGTTTTTTGGCTTGATTCTTTGGTACGTATGATTGGATTTCTCTATATATAATCTAAATTACATCTTCATTCCTCTCAAGAAATAGCTCGCTTCATGAGTTATAATAAATTACTAGCCTACTGCTGCTTAATAACACTTACGGTTTCCTCAAAAAAATTTCGAAGTGCTGCACTTGAGTATTGACACAGCAATCTTGATTAAGGAGATTGAATACGTGGAAGTTTCTAAAAGGTTCAATATTGATTTAATGCTTATGTCATGTTACTTTCCCTGATCATCCAGGTGCAAGGATTTCTAAAGTTTGAAATTTTGATGTCAGACAGGAAGCTGTCGGGTCAAGGAATGGGCTCGCGTTCTGTTGAGGAACTTCAAAAGATTGGTAGCCAGCTAGGCAAAGCTTGACAAACATTATGAGAAGAAAGGTTTCCAACCTTTAGATTTGCATTTAGGCTAAAAGTAGTTGCGTAAAAGAATCAATGCATGGTTGCAAGACTTCTGATTTTGCAGGAAAATTAGGTTTTGAGTTACAATCAAATAAGCCTAATTTTTGAGATATTTATAGAGTATTTGCATTGTCATCGAACCTTATAGACATACAACAACCACACTTCCTCTGACTCGTCTCCTACTTAGGTTATATTCATGGATAGAGCTGCAACCCACAATCCAACCATTAAAGAGGCCCAAGATCTACTCCATGATATGGGATAGGAGTCTCTAATGTACCCTGTAATAGATTCTTCATTGTCATCTAATCTACCTACATGCAAGGGACTTTGACTTGACGTTCCTTGTGTCTTTAATCCAAATTTCTCCAGAGTAGATTCTTCATTGTGCCATGCATCTAAACTACATATAATTTTTAGACAATTCTTGATAATTGGTAGGTTAAACCTTAAATTTAGTACCTCAACAATTACATAGACTCTTGTTTTGATCCCTAAACAAAATAAACCCCTTGTTTTACACTCTGAAATTTGAAATTTTAACTTTTTTTTGGTCCATTCCATTAAATTTTTAATGAGGTGGCATGTTAATTAAAGTAGGAGCCATATTTCTTCTTTAAATTAATCACATGAAAATTCCACCATGTTAAATTGATGAGGTGGAAAAAAAGTAATGCCGATTTAAATTTAATAGAAAAATCAATTTAAAAATTAAAAACTACTTAAAAGAGTAATAGCCCTAAAAACCCAAAAGACTAAAATATCCTTTCTTCTTCACCTTCACGGTTCACCCCTCGATCCCTCTCTTTCATCGTTCTCCATATTTGCAACGTAAATCATTCTCCAGATCTCCCACTTTCCCTAAACCCAAACCCAAATCTCCTTTTTAGCCACTGCCTTTTTTTAAGGAGAGAATACCCCCGTTGGTCCCCTGTTGGACCCAAAAAGGCAAAAACGTCACTCTAAAAGGGCGACAGCGCCACTGCCATCCCCGCCGACCTCTTGTCAGCGCCTTCTCTATCTTAACCCGTAAGAACCTCTCCACTTCCTTACCAGAGTATAGACATCTCTTATTGACTTTGACTTTGACTTTCTGTTCCTACCAAAAATGTCTACTAGGTCCAACAGATCCTCAATCTTGCCGTCCGCTAACGTAAGTCCCTTGCTGCTCAGCCACCGCCCTCCAAAACCACTACTTGTCTCGTCACTCCGTCCTCTATGGCGTCGTCCAAGTATCTTTGTTAAATGTCCAGCTACCTCATCTAGCCCCATCGGAGTCCAGTCACCACCCCCACTCCCCCTCTTGACCTCATTTGTCTTTGTTAAATGTCCAATTTTGTTGAGTATGTTGAATCTACCAAATCTGGGTCTCTTGAGTCGGATTTGAGAATATGAATTGAACTTTGTTGATTAAATTTGATTTTGATAAGAAGTTTTGAAGAATTCAAATTTGATTTAGATATAGATATTTCGATTTCAATCTCAATTTCTTTGTCTATGATGCCATAAATGGGTTTAAGAGTAAGAGATTCACTTGTGCCCTTCAAAGATCATGAACAGAACTCCAAAGATTTTTTTCTTAACCTTTTTGATTTTGGTTTAATTAAAGTTAATATTTTTGTAAGTAATAAATTTAATTACATTAATTGTAAGAGTAGGAATTTATTTACATGTAAATTTTACACATTACATTTACATAAAATCTCAATTATTTATTTTTTCACTTTCAATAGTTAAGATTCATACATATCTATTAAAGAAAATTATTTTTTCATTTAAAAAAGTGATAAATTTCAATAATTAAAAGTAGATAAATAAATAGTTAAGATTATGTAAGTGTGATGTGTAAAGTTTGTATGTAAGTGGATTTTTTCTCTAATTATAAACATTAATTGTGATTTAAATCTTTTTGTTTTTGTTTATTTTTTCTATTTAATTATCTAAATCAGCATTAGTTTTCAAACTTTAGGGACTAATGTAGAGATTTATTTAATTTAGGGACCAAATTAAAGATCCATAGAATAGTTGATGGACCAATTTGGGATTTAACCTTCTTGATAATTGTGTTTGCATGCAAATTGAAGTATGTAGACTAAATATGTTGTCTTATATTATAGGCCCAACTATATAAGGAGTAGATACAATAACTAAAAACAAAGGTGAGAATAATCCCGTTCATTGAATTAAAGAAAATGATTAGTACATATTTAGTTCAGCACATTTTCTAACACTTATTTGGTTCAACTATTAAAATATAATATAACTCGATTTAGTTGGTTATTGTTTCGTGTATGTATGATTATATCTTTAAATTTATCTTCTTTTAGTTGCATACTAAAAAACAATGATTTTTTAAAAAATGTATTGTACAATACATTGAACCAAAATATATACTAATCAGTGTTCTTGAATTAAACATATATTACTTCCTCTTCTAGCTCTAAGCTTTTCAACAATGTAGCTCTTTTTTGTCTCAATAATACATTTTTTTGTGTGTTAATTTAGGAGAGAATGTTGTTACAAAAAACGTAAAGTTATGCCAAAAGGTGAGCCTTTCATTAATTTCCAAATGTTGGTGTTCTTTTTTTTTTTTTTACTTAAAAAAAAAAAAGCTTGTTGTTTTGCAATTCACATTGATACTAGATTATAAAAACTTGGCAGTTGGATGATGGGGGCTGCCCAGCAATCATGCTTCCTCTCATTTAATGGCCCATATTTTGTAATTTGTTATAATTTAGATTGTAGAATACTATTTGAAATAATAAATTATCTAACCCTCTTTCGTTATTTATATTAGCTTAATGGTGGGAAGCCATGGCAACAAGCACTAATCCAACAAAGGGAAGCAGTAAGTGATTACACCTAAAATAACCAATGCTAGAAAGTTGTGATGGAATTGTTATTGGACTATCACAAAACCATTATTATCAACCATGTACATTAGTTATGGCTGAAATTATATATTGTGCTAACTCGTATAATGTTACATGATCGGTATATGCGGCTAGATAATCCACTATTTTTCTCTTGAATGTATTTTCTGTACTTGTATATGATCTAAATGTAACTATAATATAGTGCAAGAATACCATTAAAAAATAGAGTTTAAGATGCTGGAGATCATGACACTGCACGGTCTTGGAAAAGATGAAATCTAAAGATAAAATAGATTTTCCCGCTATTCTAAAAATGAAAATAATATAATTACAATATTATATGATATTATAAGTTTATAATTATAATGTATTATTATATAATTACTTTTTAATATAAGAGTTTATTTATAATATTATATACATTTACTTATTTATTGATATATTATGCTTGTGAATTTATAATCTAATATGGCATTGTAATTATATCTTTATTGTTTTAAAAAATAAATTATTATTATTAATTTTTGTATTCAAAATTTATTAAAATGACATAATTTTCGAAGTATATTTTCTCTTAACTCTTTTTAAAACTTGAGTGATAATTTTTTTCTTTAATACTGTATTTGTTAATTCTACTCTTTTGCTATTTATTACCGTAAATAAAAATATTAATTTTGATTTTCTCGCTTGTTAAATACATGATTAAAATTGAAAAATAAATTCGTCTAGTAAAAAGAAAGATGGGATAAGTTACTAGATCTAGATTTTACCAAAAGAAGAAAAGAAATTAAACGAGGTTGTTGATCCCAACAAAAGCATTCAACAAGTGGCCCTGTCACCACCAGCCTCCAAATTGAGAGCCCAAAACGAAAATTGCATGGCGATTGGTAAGACAAAGAAACCTAAGACCAATCCACCTATAAATAGCAAAACCCAGCCCCAGCCCGCTGCTTCCAATATACGCAAAATTTTAAAGTCATATTGAGAAACCCACTTTTAAAATCTTATTTTTCTGAATTTTTTATCCACCAGTCAAATTTCCTCAGCAGCTTCCTGTTTTTGGTGAATAAATTTCGTCAGCAACCTTACCAAAATGAAATATTCCTAAGCCGAAACACAGAAATCTCAATTTAAATATTGTCTCCGTTAAATTTTACTTAACTTTTAATTTAAAA